TTTAAGCATAATAAAAATTAGCTTCATGAGGCCAAGGGGTAAGACCTTAATATATAGATAGATAGACAGATATAGATAGATAGATAGATAGATAGATAGATAGATAGATAGATAGATAGATATAGAAAACTATTTTCAGGAATTTCAAGTATCGAGAAATATTTATTTTTTGTCCTGGTAGTTTCCTCTATATCTGTTCAGTGAAACTGTGGATAACCTAAGGACAACTGTCCTTGCTACAAGTTCCCGTTGATCTCTTTCTATCCACCCCCTCCCACCTTCACCCCCGAGTTTAGCAACTTTATTGAAGTTAAGGCAGGCCCTGGATAGTATGTAGTTTAAAACTGCTTAAGTCTCACATGTGAAAATCCAGATTTATAAAGCAATCAGGAGGAACGGTAATTCAATTAAAAAGGTTGACTAAATTCTGTTAAATGGTAAACTCCCGTCTGTAATATTAACTCAGCTAACAAAACATGCAGCTTTTCAGACTGCAACTAAACATTGTAGCAATAGAAAATATTTTTTTGTGAGTGTTGAAAGAAAAAACCAGGGAAGATGTTAAGAGAGAACACACGGAAACAGCCTTGGGCCTTGAAAAAGTGGGAAAAAGTGAGGGTGGCTCATTCTAACGGTCAGTGATCCTGTGTGGTGCTGTGGGTGTGTGTTTACGTATCTAACATAACGGGACCCTTTAGAGTCCCTGAAAGCCCTCGCTTTCAATTAGCCGGGAAAATAAAAGTCATTTGGTTAGCGGGAGTGGGCGTGTAAGGCACAAGTTAATGAACAAGAACATTCCCGGGCACAGAGTTCAACAGCAGAGGGCACAATATTCACTGGCTAAGGCGCGCTGGCGGCAAGGAGGGACAGAACCTATAGATGGCTGGGGCTTGTAGTTCACCATGTTTCTCGCAGGCATGCCCGTCCCCGGATGAGAACTACCACTCCCAAGGTGCATCGCGTACCCCTCTCCTGCTCGCCCCTCTCCGAGGCCTCTCAAGAACCTCCCGCTCCGCCCTTGTGCGCACGCGTCACGTTTGTTTACCCTGAAGCCCCGCCTCCTCGTCATCCTCCTGCTCTCCCACTCCTCCCTGGAATGCGTCATGCTGGAGGTGCATATTCATGAGGCCCGCCCAGGCCACCTCCCGCCTTCCCGCTCCCGGCGCGTGATTAATATTCAATGAGTCCAGCCTTCGCGGCTGGTTCGCCCGGGTGAGGTGGGGGGAGCGGGCGGGGCCTGGCNAAAAAAAAAAAAATCATTACCTCTTTGCCTCTTTTATTTCTTTCAGAAACTGGTCCTTCAAGAAGAGCTCATTTCATTCACTCCAAAAAATTTCATTCAAAGTTACCTCTCTATTATCTGACTTCCTACACTAGGTTAGTTCCCCTTGTTTTATGTCTATTTCCATGGGTCCTTGTATTTTCCCCTCTATACACCTGTTTCACTAATCTATGAAGGCAGGAACAGTGTCTGACTTTTCAATTGCTGTAGCACAGTAACTGATACATAATATATATTTGTAATTATTTGTTAAATTAATTGACTTAAATATGTCATCTCTCTTTGGAGAACTTGCAATCTCCCTAATTTTTAAAATGTTGATCTTGACCGTAATCACCACAAAGAAATGACAAATATTTAGGTGATATATATGCTATCTACCCTAAGTGAATCATTATACAATATATGCAATGTATTGTATACCCCACAAATATGTACAATTAAAAATAAAAAGAAATAAATAAAATGTTGCTGTTGATTGAATTTAAGCATAATAAAAATTAGCTTCATGAGGCCAAGGGGTAAGACCTTAATATATAGATAGACAGACAG